TGTCAGGGGGTTACACAATTTTTTGGGACGCTCTATTTGTAATTTAAAAACATCTATCAAAAAATAACTGTCCTGCATGGAGTGTTCATATTACTTCTTTAGGCCTATGTTACAGAACATTTTCTGAATAACTTAAAAACAAGCGGGTAATCCTTACATGTATGTTGAGTCTGGTGTGGAAGCATGAAATTGAGTCCCAGTGTGAGTTCATAATGCATTTCGCAAATGGTGTGAAAGTACCCTTGTTCCTGTAGTTCTGTCTGAAGTCCACACTGGGATACTACTGTCATTTTCCCACCTTGCGCATTGTAGTACCTGCAACTAATAGATTTAGTGCTACTGTTCCCACAACTAGAACTACTAGATTTGTATATTGCTTGGATTAGACTAGGAAGAAGAAGAAAGAAAATTCTTATTCCTACTTTCACTTTCACCAAACTCCGACTCCAATAGTTAATGGCTTGAGCTACAGTCCATTTCATATATCTGGCAGCTTCTAGTAAGTTTTGTGGGACATTGAAAGAGCTTTAGCCTTCTAGTTCACTATCAGACCCTTCAAACACTTCAAAAAAGTTCTGTTTATGTCTTTGAGAGGCTATCTCCACTCTTAAAACAATCACGGCTTTGTTTCTGTTCACCGAGTTTCTATCTCGATGCGAAGGTGACTAACTTAGTCTATTACAGCTCAAAAAGTATCACAACGAAACAAGTGGGTTAACTGTTGGCTTATCACTTCCTGTCGCTTGTAACCAAAAAACAAAAGCGATACCGATTATTAAAGCCCATCCCATAAATATACTGGATTCGGCCTCCGGGCGGCCGGCATGTCTATGTCTCATAATTACTTGGGAATAGTGAGTTAAAGGAGATGGGGGTAAAATTAGCGAGAAAATTAGTGACTTCCAGAGCTTGAGTCTTTCGAAACTGTGATCGACTATACATTTGTTGTACCTTTAATCAACATTTTTCAGTTAACTCCACACATAAATGTGAATAAAATGGACATAGAGGGGGTTGAGTCAAAAATAAAATTTTTAATAAAGACAGACATACCGGCGGAAAAATGCCGGTTTCTTCAATTCCATTATTTGAACAATCAAGTGATTTCACTATGCTGCCTCACAAAAAAAGAACAAGAAACTGTTCAAGTTTTAAAAAACAAAATACGAAACATAAAAATGTACAAGCACGTGTAACTTTATCAAATAGTTTCAACTCCTCCCCCCTCTCCCTCTGTCAGATCTTTGCTGAAATCTTTGTTCTCTTTTATCATTTCTTTGTCGAGTTCTTTCTTTCATTTTCTGCTTTCTTTCAAATGCCTCAGTCTGTTGTTTTCTCTCTTTACTCATGAAGTATTCAGTCTTATTGAGCTCCCACTTCATGGCATGCACAATGTCAATCTCATCAGGGATGTGCACGTAAACGATCTGTCTGCCTTTAATGTAAAACTTGGAAAATCGAATCTGTCTCCCAAGCACATCGGTCCACACAACATCTGAGAGATTCAAGGCCATTGAACCTTCCACCGTGTCCAGCTGTCCACATACCGTGATGCTGTTTCTGATTTCCACCTTGATCCTCTTCCCCTCCAAAACTTTCAGCAGGCAGACCATGGTGTTGTAAAAGTAAAACTTGCTGCGGGCACCAAGCAGAGACATGACTAGGAATTTATTGCTTGACCTAAAACAAACAAAATAAAAAAGCAGGCATTTAGAATCACACAATATCAGACACATAATTTTGTGTGGAGTTGAGGTGAAAATTTTAAAAACATCGTAAAAATCAGTCTGAAGATTATAAAACATCTGACAGAAAAGACCGCTTCCACTTCCACATAAGGCCTGTTGACTGTTGACCCTTTAGTTTTGTTTGCAGTACAAAAAATGCACACAACTTTCAAAGATTTAAACATCAGTTTTAATACACCCTCATTCAAGAATAAAATGAAAATGGTTAAAGTGAAAACAACCACTCATATGACCGTATGCAGTTGCGAGCGCCTTTTAAGTTAAAACTCTTACCAAAAAAAAAAAAGAGTAAACATAAGCGATTATATTTCGTTTTTTTCTTACTGAAGTTCGCGCCCCCAGTGCTTGCTTGTCTTATCTCCATTTTATATAACAGTGAAAACAGTCCATGCTTGCTTGTCTTATCTCCATTTTATATAACAGTGAAAACAGTCCATAACAAAGAGTGAGCTTAAGAACATATTTTCACTGTTAAAAAAAAGGAGATACACGACAAGAAAGCACTGAGGTCACGAGTTACTGAACTCAACTCTCATATAAGCTAAAAAATATACTGTTGTTATATATATTCTATTCAGAATTTTTTGCTCACAGTTGGTCACCTCCTTTCTGGGGTTGCATCTAAAGTTCCTTCTTCCCAGTTTTTCTGCTGCACCATGCCTATTCCTTTACTTTATAATAGCCTTATAGTTAGGCCTTATATGTTCATACTGATTGATGTACGTCTGACCAGGAGAGTTAATAATGGTGTTTATTAGTAGGTGCACCTGGAGCCATGAACTAGATTTAAATAGATTCTACACAATGCTGACTATACAGTACTGAAGGAGTTGGGGTTATTTTCAGTGGATACCTGAAGCTTTTGCAGAGGATGAAACAAAAAAGCCAAAAACCTATTGCATGAAAAGAGTAGTTCATGCTGGTTTATATTACACTGAACCTCAGGTACAACGAAGTCATATATGACTTGACTTTCAATTTAATTAAATCCAAGCATTCGTTAACAGTTTTATTGATCCATTATTGCACGTACCAGTGCAGGCTATATTACTACTATAAAAAAGGGTCCAATTCACTCAAATCTTCTTCTTCTTCTTCTATCCCGTGGTTGGGGCAACCGTGGGGGCACCACTGCATCTGAAAACCAGCTCTCGCCATCTATTTTTGTCCTCTGTTTTCCTCAGATTGTCATCCATCGTCTTTCCTGTCCACTCTGTAATGTTGTCCTCCCATCTCCTTCTCTGCCTTCCTCTCTTTCTCTTTCCTTGTATGGTTCCTTGCAGGATTGTTTTGGCAAGTCTTGTGGATCTTGTGACATGCCCATACCATTTTAATTTTCGTCTCTTCACTGTGGTCAGTAGATCTTCATATTGCCCCACTGCGTTGGTGATTCTCTTTCGTACCTCAGAATTTGAAATGTGGCCTTTGTACGAAATGTCAAAGGAGTCTGCGGTAATATCTTATCTCTGTGGTCTGAACCTTTTTCTCTAATTCTGCTGTTAGTGTCCATGACTCGCAGGCGTATATATAAATATTGAAATGACCAGTGAGCGTATTAGTCTAATTTTTCAGTTGTGCGTGATGTTTCTGTCCCTCCAAATAGGCTTCAGTTTTGACAGCGCAGCTGTTGTTTGCAATCTGGGACGATTGATCCAAGGTATTTGAAGCTGTTGACGGTCTCAAGTTTCTCGCCCCTGACTTTGATATCCGCGTTGATGCCATTGGTGTTATTGGTCATTAGCTTGGTTTTCTTGGCACAGATCTCCATGCCGTAGGCTGCTGAGGTTGTGTCCAGCCGCTCCACTAGTGTGGCGAGCTCCTGTTCCTCTCCTGCTAATCCATCGATATCATCGGCAAAACGCAAGTTAGTGATTGTCCTGCCTCCAATACTGATTGTTCCATGCGGCCTTCCAGAGTGTCAGTCATGATTCGTTCTAAGAAGATGTTGAAGAGAGTGGGAGAGAGCAAACAGCCTTGCCTCACCCCAACCGTTGTCCTGAACCAATCCCCCATGGTGACGTTAAGGTAGACTGCGCTGGAGGCCTTGTCATATTGTTGTATGACGTTGATCAGATTGGAGTTGATGTTATATTTCCTCATGGTTGCCCATATAAAGGCTAAATGCCAGACCCTGTCGAAGGCCTTTTTAAAATCCACGAAGATATGGTATAGGTTTTGTTGGTGTTGGAGGTACCTCTCGCACAGTATCTTGAGGTTGAAGATCTGTTCTGTTGTGCTGATCCCTGCTCTAAAGCCTGCCTGCTCTTCGGCAATGATCTTCTCTGCCTGTGTATCATGTATGTCACACTCATACAAAAGTTACCGTCTTGTAACGTTACTGTCATAGGCTAGATATATCTATTGTCAATGTGTTGTTGCCAGATCTGGCAGTTAACGTACGGATCGACTTACTTTAACATTGCTGATCTAGATTACAAGTTAGGCCCTTGCTTGATAATACAAATTAGCGTACATTTTTTTAAAGATTGAAGAATACCGGACCACTGTACATTATTCCGCGAGAAAGTGGGGTAGGTGGGGCAGGGCGGGTGGTTGGGGTGGAGGAGGGGGGTCTCCCCCTTGACAAAATATTCATGAATAGATCTACCGGTCCGAGATTCTCCATTGAGATTAAAAACGGGGAAATTATGAAATCCTAACCTAATCCTAAGGTTGAGACATAGACACTAAGCAAAGTCAGTCCGCTGGTCCGGAATTCTTCAATCTTACCTTTTTAACTCATAAACACACCTCAAGATGCCACAGGCGATTCTCTATTGATGACAAAACTTCAATTTCTTGAATTCAAGACAAGCAGAACTTGCATTCCCGTTTTGTTTTCAGTTTTTCCGTCAGCTTTTATTCAGTTAGGTTTTCCGCTCTTCAAGGGAGATGATGCTGCTTACGTATTCCAGAAGTTCAGCATCATCTCCCTTCGTACGCGGAAAATTTACTTTGGTGATTTGTGACTTTTGTGGATGCTGCCTGAGACCCTCTGTGCCTTTTGTATATATTTAGATCTATTATGTATACAACAGTACAAGTGCCCTATACTTGTGTGCCAAGTGCTAAGAAGATCCCTATCTGGTCCTAGATCTACCTCAAGACTTTGACTTACCGTTTCGTGTCTGTCTATTGTCCATCACTGGCCACTGGGAGGACTTCCGTTACCGTAATAATAAATGAGCGACCACTATACTACTATAGCCACTATGAGACAAGAGTAGAGTAGAATAGAGGGCTGGATATAGATCTAGGGTTAGGGTTAGGTCTCTTCTTTATTGTTGTTTGTTGGGGTGGTCGCTCATTATGGAAGTCCATCCCTATCCCTGACTGTTACTAAAAATTCCTGTAGTGTAGGCTAAATTTCAGGCTCCCCATTAATATTACCCACAGTAGTCGTGCTTTATTGCGCATTAAACCTGCAGATTACCCCTTTTAAGTTTTGATGGTGCGTTAGATTTACTTTTTATATTCGTTGCGGGGATTTGCATACGTTTTAAAATGTAGACTAGGTGGTGTACTCCGTCTGGCAAACATCATTTTTCCCCTTTCTCTATCCCGAAGCCGAGTCAAAGATGTGACAACACACCCGCACACACACGGCAGTCACCTTTTGTTTGTGTGTCTGTGTCAGAAGCAGTCTACCTACTCAGCTGCGCGCAGTTTCCGGTGACACCGGCTTGCTTCAGCAGAGAAACTCCACCTACATTTTGGTTGCTCGCATTTGCGAATGTCGTGCCTTGAGGAGTTTTCCCCTGCCATGTGATTACCCCCATCCTTCTTAAACACAGTAAACATGAATTGTACGCCTTTTAAAAAAAACAAAAACAATATCAAAATGAACATAAAGAGTTGTACACTAACCCTAATCTTGCCTAATTCACTGACCTGACCACAAAGGCTGTTAACAACCAACTGATCATTTGGCATGAAAGCAAGCAAGCATGATATGAGCATTTTAATTTGATGAAAAGAAAGTGATCCAGGAGGCTTGTTGTGAGAACTTCACGAGGGAAAAAAATTGAAAGTCTGGAAAGACTGTCAGAATGTGAACCCTAGGATGGCTCTGAAATGAATCAGTTTATTTTCTTTGTGTATTACAGTAAGAATTGACCCCTTTTGGTTTGTCAAATTTATTTTACTTTTGATTGGCCCATCCACCACCACCCTCCCCCCCCCCCCCCCCCAAGTGGACACAACTCTAATTTTGTTCAATATTACTCTTTTATTTCTTGTTGTTACAATGAAACTTAACAATTAATTACAAATCATTAGCCTTCAATCATAGTCATGGTCACTCTGTGTGTGTCTGTGGGAATATAATGTGCATGTGTAAAAATGTTTACATGATCATGCAAAATTCTTACTACTACTATAAAATATATAATTAGGAGATAATGATTGACTTTTGAGGATTAGTTTGTCAGACAGGAAAAAAACAAAACAACAGCCATTAAAAAAATTTAAGCTTAAATACCCCTTAAGATAGCAAACCAAAGGGTGAAGGAACCTCTTAAGTTAGCCTGAAAAGGGGAGCCCTGAACTTTTGTATTATTTTAGTTCTTGGCCTATGTGTGCATAATGTGAGGGTGAGAAGTAAAAAAAGTGCAAGTTCCTTGATAACAATATATACAACAAGACATGTAGGCCCCTACTGTAATTTTAACTTACTTATTTTATATATACACCTACACCTCCTACTATTATTATCTTTAGGCCTATAGACAGTCTTACAGTCTACAGTTTATGGTGTGACATTAAAAGGATAATCTCTATACTATGACTATGCTGTCGACTTAACTTACTACTATTAATACTACCAGTTACTACTTACTTTAAACTAGTTCACTGTCACTCACACTGTGCTCTGTTCATGGATATAATGTAGGCAATGAGTATTATTTCTGCTGGTAGTCATGGATACTGGACTAGTAGTAGTACTAGAAGTAGTGGTCATGTGTATGACATAAAAAACATAGACTCTAGTTCTAGAAATACAAAAGAGTTTGAGTTTGGGATCATCAAACGGCTTCAGTTATGAGTGACCACCCCAACAAACAACAATAAAGTAGAGACCTAACCCAACCCCTAACACTACCCTTACCTTTACCCCTACCCCTACCCTAATCCCAAACCACACCCTTACCCTAACTCTAACCCTAACCCTCTATTCTACTCTGTTTCACATTCATAGTGGTTGCTCGTTATGGAATTTCTCTCCTGTTCTGTTGAGATGTATGGCACAATAACTTACAGTTCAGTAGGCTGTATGGTAGGCCCACTTTGTTTGCTTGTTGTTTTTTTTTGGTGTATATTCCTATACGCTTATTCCCCAGATCAGGATCTTATGGACAGTGTAACTTTTTGTGGTGGTTGCTGAAGAGAGGCCAGCGCCAATTGCATAGGTAATGCAGACCACTGTGCACCATGGAGGAAAATAATACGTCTCAGACAGGATTTCTGCACTCTTGTGTGGTGACAGCAGACGTAATAGTTGATGATTTTCTACAAACAAACCTGAATGTCGAAGTGAGTGTAGTATGTTCTTCCGCTGATATATTCAGATATTCTAGTCTCTAAAAGTCTTGGCCAATATTTTGTACTGTGCTTTATTTGGTCTTATGCACACATGCGGAGTGGAAAGAAAATCTTTATTCACATGTGCCGCATAATGAAGGAAACGTGGTTGTAAAGGGCCTAGTTTTGGTTAGGGTCACCTTAACCTGACCTTTGTCCTTACTCCTTAACTCTTACATTGTTACCCATATCCAGACTATTGTAAACAAAATGTGCACATCTTGAAGATTGCAGAGGGGGAGGGCTAATCGATCTGAAATAAATATCCTTTATTTTAGAGGGAGAGCCTATAGTTGTTATAAATATAAACATACTTTACACAACCACTGAGACAATAAAAGCATGATCTGATCCTGCTATTAGTGCCAATTTGTTTTAAAGATCTTCTGCACTACGGTGCTACTGTGATTCCCGCCCAATCAACCATGGTGTACTGCGATCAAATGTTCAAACGTAGTGTCCCTCCTGATTGGAGTTACGACAACACTGGGGACATTTAGACCAATTGTGGTGTGTGGGTGGGCGGATTGCTTTATGTTGCATTGGTAAAGATTATGATTGACAAAGTAGCGGCAGCAAGTGACCAGACAAGACTTTCTTCATGAAATTTGGGGGGGGCTTACTCCCTATCCCCGAAAAATTATAACCACTAGAACATTTTTAATTATGCCCAATAACTGTTCCAAGCCTGTGTAAAATGCAAGGGAAAATGTAAACTGATCCATGTACCAAGTCCCAAGCCCCTATATGAACTAATAGACCTTCAACTAAGCCAGTTGTCAGTCTAGAGTCTAGTAACTTTGTCCACTGGTAGATCTTCAACTAAACCAGAAATGTCGCAGTAAACCTTCAACTAAACTGGCACCCACAGGAGTTTAGGAATCTAGCCTATATATAATGCGAGTCCTCCATGCTGTAAAAGGACTTCTGCTCTGGATTGAGATTATAAAGCTCAGAATTTTTACTCAACTTTCATTAACACACATTCTTTTATCCCTTATAAAGTATACTGCTGTTTCCATTTTGCTTGGCGGATGGGGGTATAACATAGCATCTCTATCAGTGAAGATTTACCCCCCAAAAAAGAAAAAAACATGCAATGTATGCACAGAATTCAGAAAAAAATCCTGTCTATGATTATGGTTTGAGGAATGTGATAAGTCAATAAGCACATTATGCCACAATAACCATATTAAATTAGATTTCTTATACAGAGTATTATGCTGTGTGTCTTCAGTAATGTTTTGAAGGAAACACATTTTTGCTTTTCCATACACTATAATCAAATGTGTTAATTATAATAGTGTCTTGTTTTCTCTTGTTTTTCAGGGGAATGAAGCCAGGTCAAAAGTTTTCAAAGAAAAACTTAGAAAGATCTTGCTGTGGACAAGTGGTAGGACAATATTGAAGAAAAAGCCCTTGACATTTTTTTAACTCTTGTGAATTCCAGTAGACCATTGACCAATTGCATGAATATATGTATGTGAAATGAGAAAAATTCATCTGATTGACCTTTTTGTACATTCTTGAGAATATCAGACCAACAGAAGTTCAAATAGAAAAGCTGTGAAATCATTAGACAGGTAATTAACCCTTTGAATTGGAGGAATTCTGACATCTTTCCTCTTTTTTTTTTTCCTGTTAATATGGGAGATCCAAAAGGGGCAAGAGCAAAGTTTTATGAATGCACGTGGATCTGCAGACATATTGGTCAATACATTTAATGTCGTTTTCAGTAAATTACATACATTTAAGAAGAAAAGGTTTGCTAAAGTGTATAACAAAGTTTTGTGAATTCATGGAGATGCCAGCACGAGTAATTTCTTAAAGAGACATTTCCCCCCCCCCCAGTGCATCCCCCTTCTCAAAATGTTTCCTTCCTTGAGCTCACTGTCATGGCTAACTACACTATGCTGTGTACTGCTGCTCGACTCAGGCTGGCACAGAGATCTCCAGAAACAGGCAGCACTTCCCAGTTGTTTACACTGATGTGTTCCACTCTCAATAGAGGTAAGTAATTGTTACAAACCAAGGGATATCAGATTTTAATTGAGTCTTTATTGGTCAATGTGATAAATGTGATTCTCAGGTTCAGCTGGTGTGGTAGTGGTTGTGTGCTGTTTAAGCTCATATCTTGTAAACTGAAAGAAAAGAAAAAACTTGGAAGTTGTATATTAGACAGTTAGGTGGAAGACACCAAAGTGCCCCATCACCAGCATGTTCTGAAAAGATGTCCAAGACTTCAGATGATCATGATTGTTGGAGAATTGTACAACTTACTCTATCCTGAACGAAGACCCTTTTGGTTTGTTTGTTTGGGGTTTGTTTTTTTTTGTTGTTGTTGGTTTTTTGTTGTTTTTGTTGGGGGTTTTTTTGGGGGGGGAGGGGTTGTTGATCCAAGACCTAGGGGTGTGGGAGTACTTGACTCCACTTAACAGTGCTTCCACTCTTCCGTATTTTTCCAGTTCCGTACTTGTTCTTCCACCATTCTCAACTCCCTCCGTAAAAAGCTGCGACAGCGTAGGACTAACGAAATTCCGTAGCAAAAGAAACGTACTCGCCTTCGTATTGTCTAGTACTAGTATAAGTTACGGATATTTACGGTAATTCTCTCGGCAATAAGTTATTGTTATAGAAACCTGCCAGATTGCGCATTTCCTGCAATCGGCCATTATTCCACTATACCCCATGCATTCATTGCGGGCTTGTCGGCAGTACATTTTAACCTGTGGATTGATCAAAATCTGGCAAACTTTTTGTGCCAATTTCCTCCTTTCTATCATTCACTCATTCCGTCTGTCTTCGGATTGTTGCAGCGGATGGAAAATCTGCGCGTTGATCAAGTAAATTGACTTGTGATCTTAGTCTTAGACGGAAAATACTGTCGGAAAGAAACATTTTTACAAATTTGTCTAGATCTAGAGAAATGGTCAGTATGAAGATTCTACGGCTCGGGAACACGATTTACAAGGGCCGCTATTAAAGAAATTTATGCTAAAACTTGCATAAAACTACTAAAATAAAGAATAATTCGAAGTGGTGTTCCGAGGTTGTGACATGCGACATTCAGGCGTGAAATTTAAGGAAAATTAGGGTATACGCTGGGTAACTGTATTGTGAAGGTATGTATCTATTCATTATTCCCAGGTTTGCCTTCTATCAATGGTGCGGCAATGACAAATTAATTGAATTATAGTAGCAATGGAAGGGGAACCAGCTTTTAAAAATTGCCATCAATGGAAATATTATGTAGGTCTTGGTGAAGAAATCAAACAAGACAAAATGGTGATGAAAAAATAAGTTATGGTTTGCAGGCAGTCTCTTCAAACATGCTCCCAAATGCCATTTTCAACCCTCAAAAAGTACTAAATTTCAATTTCTTCGGGGGCTTCGGCCCCTGAGCCCCCACCGCGACTCAGTGGTCTCTATGCGGCCCCCAGACCCCTGGCAGAATTTTCCTTACTTTCCAGCTTCAGCTGGTGGAAGCACTGACTTAAGTACTCAAGTATTAAGCAGCTGCGAATATTCACTCAAGTTGAAAAAGTTCCAAATACTCTGGTAAGTCCTTAGACTTACTGTTCTTCTCCCAGTGGGGATTTAAGTATAAACAAAGATTTTCCAATTTTCGTCTTTTTGCTTTTTGCTGCATTGTATTTTTTCCTGCTCTTTCTTTGTGTGCTATTCAAATCATCTCATATCCAAATATTTTTGTTTGTTATTTTTTACAATTATTAATATATTCCTTTCTCTACTTTTGTATTATTGTTGTTATAAATTAATTGGTAAGGTTCAGTTTAAGCATCGGCAAATAACACATTCAGTTTGGTTCAGAATTTGAGTCCCTGAGTGCTCTCTTGAGTATTTCATGGTAACTCGAAAGTGGATTTGAGTTCAAAATATTGGACTCACACAACCCTTCCAAGATTTGTTTTGTGAATACTTCCCTTTTTGTAGAGCTGGACCTTACAATTCATTTTTGATGAACAATGTTGATCTTTTCCTCTGGCACATATCCTACAACAGCTGTCTTAATTGAGCTGTACAGTAGTTTACTGTATTGCCATGCTGCTTTATGTGTCTTGCTGGGATTGGGCATATGGTTTAAAAGATATGGAATTGGAAATGGGGTTTCCTGTGATGCAATGTTTGTGAAACAGTAAGGCTCTTCAATCTGCCCTTCTGATGATAGCATCTAGACACAAACTACATATAGTTGAAATCTTGTTTTCTCTTGCAGATTCTTTGCCTTCTCCTATTTACCTACTCTATGCATCATGAGTATCTTACTATATTTTAAACAGCAGACTTTCTTTCCCCTTGCTCAGTCTTGCAGCTGAGTGGACAGAGCGGGCCTGCACCAGGTGCTTCTCGTATTGTTGCTGTGGAGGAAGAGATCATGAGACTTGTCTCTCTTGTTGACAGTCCACTCTGTCATTTCAAGTGTGAGTAAAGATTCTGCTACGAAAGGTGTCATTTTTTTTTGTAGGGGGGCTTCTTTTACTTTTGTGTTTCATATTTCATGTCAGTGAGGGTGTGCCACTTTTCCAGAAGTTTCTAATATTTCAGCCTTTTGTTTTGTTTAGATCCCTTGATATGGTCCATGAGACGATGAACATGGGTTCTGTTCATACCACTAACCCTGTAACTTCTTAAAATCTTTATATTTTGTGGTAAAAAAAATTATGGCGTAAATTATTGTCAAATATCTCCTTAACTATTGAACATATCTTCTCCAACATTTGCACAATGACTTATATCAATTTGTCTTAACTGATGAAAATCTTTTCATACCCCTGTACTCTGTATTCTAGAAAATTCCTTTATAAATACTAATAAAAAATCCGAGCTGGTGGTTTCTACAGCTTTTAACTCACTTGCGACTGGGCCCTTTCACCAGCCACAAGCGTTGAAGACTGGCGTTTTGGGGGGTATTTCAATAAATCACCACAACTCTCAGAATTACCCTATTGTAATCATTTTTTGACACAGTAAAGTAACATTCAAGCTTAATCTAATACAAAAAACTAAAGTTGTCTAAGTCTAATACTTTAATTTGTATGATTTTTTAAAAATTGGCATGAATTTGAATTTCGAAAAATTTCCAGAGACGTGACAAGTAGAATGAAATTCACTGCAACAACAAAAATAAAAGTTCAAAGTGTTCTGGTTTTATTTGTATATATGTGCAAGTGTTTGGTGAAAATATAAAAGCTGGTCTGTGCATTGATTCAGACCCATACACTGAATTACATGAGACAGATGTACGGCACGACGTTGTGATTTCGTTGCGCGAAAAACAACACCGGTACTAGTGCTAGATCTAGCCCTAGAACTACGACTCGGGCTGTGTTCGGGTACATATCCAGGATCCTAACTATTAGACACATCATATTCTGAGACACTAGAACTAGTAAAACGTACAGAAGTATAGAAAACGGCGAAATTATGTGATTCTTGTTCATGCGACTTCTTCGACCGTTACTACGACGCGACTGTCGGATTACTATGAGCTGTATAGAAAAAAAACAAAGCGCGAGTTCCGGTCTGTTCAACCACAGTTGGGGTCACTGTCCTTCACCTTCAATAACTTAAAAACTACCGGCCCCAGAGATACGAAACGAAATCTAAGTAGCTCAGGCTTGGCCAAACAAGGGTACGAGGCGGGTCTCGCGATCCGTGCGTGATTTGTAGAGCGAAAAAAAATTTCCAAAGTTGGTCACGCAGGGCTTGTGAGACCCGACGCGAGCGTCATGGCGGGGGTCACGCAACTGTTGTGTGACCCGTCTGAAGTGAGTTAAAAAGTTTACAGCTGGGACAATATCACTTTTAAAAGCAAGTCCGTCATTATTTTCTAATCGCGACCTTATGCTGATTGAACGCTTGTTTTTGAGAACCTCTAGTGCAAAAAATGTGTTCACTATAATATTAACTTCTCGTAACAAGTTTTGCCTCTAAAAAGTGTCATTGGTGAACTGTGACGTATACAAAATGTGTGCAAGAAGCAGGAAGTGCTGTGAACAATCCCATTTTCCGCATGACAAAGATTTATAGTATTTTATATAAATTTACATCTAGCCTCAATTGTTATGGAAAAATATGATTAAGTTAAGACAAATTGATACAAACTACTGTGCAAGGTATGAGTTACGGTGATTCATCCGTTCAAGAGATATTTTAGGATAAGTTGCGCCGCGAATTTTCGACCGCACTATAGCTGTGAGGAAGAAGCATAGTGTTGCATTCTCCAGATGTTACGAGATACTTTTGTTCAATAAATTTCACTGTGGAAATCAATGTAGACAGTATCTGTGGTGAAAAGATTAGACTCTTTGGTCAGTTTGTCACAACATTTACCAAGTGGAGAAGTTTTTTGTTTGATTTTTTCAAGTATCTCCGTCAGCCTGCTGGGATCTTGTACCCCATTCATTCGAGGTTAGTTCTGACAGTGCAGGTGTGAAGTAACCTGCCTCCAAATTGATGTAAATTGTGTTAATGGGTGTGTAATAACTAATAGTTTGTCCGAGCTGGTTGTTGGAGGGGGGGCCACTGGTAGGTCCGACTTCTTTACTTTCCTTCTGTTGTTTCTGTTTGTCTGTCTTACTTTTTCAGAGCACTTAATGACCATGTTGTATTAAATGTGCTTTTTGTTTACGCAAGCAAACAATAGTTTGTCTGTCAATGCCTGATGATGACCAATTATACTTTTACATTATTTAAATGTGCATAACAGATTATGATTACAATTACAGATCAGTAAAGTTGTGTTTTCACCCCTTTGCCTTTGTCCTTCTTTCTAGTGTTGCCTGTCCTTGGAAGACTTCTGCTGCTGGTCAGTGTTTGGTGTTTATACAGACAACTGGACTCATCTGGTTCAGGACTTTCACTTTCAGCGAAAGCTTTAGATGTTCTCTTAAAGCTGAGGAAATCGGTGGATGAGTCTGTTTTAAAGGTTGGACCTTTTTTTTTCCTTTCGATACCAAGAATATAAAGAATTCAAATAGCTCCAAACGCTTTTTAAAAAGTAAAATTTAGTTATTCAAACAAAAAACTTATCACTGAAATAAGTTTTAAAATGATGCATTTTTGAGAACAAGATTAGAAGTAAGATACCTAAGAATGAGACATTTAAAATATTATTTTTTTTAAAGAGATATGTTTGCCCCCTCCCCGGCTGAAGAATGCCATTGAATATTCTGCACGAGATGAGTTTACTTTCTTGGGGATTTTTAAAGCTTCAAAGCTTTTTCAGTTTTTATCAGGTGGGTTTGTTTCTCTCAGACAACATATTTGCCATTTAAGATACGAAGGTGAAATTTTTTCGGGAAAAATATATACTGTTTTGTAAGGAAATTGAACTTCCAAATCTACAGTAAGGCTGAAAGTTTGCAAACTGCTTTCTGTTTGTCTGATGTTGTTCTTATTTATCTGTTCCTTCAGGAACCAGTTTCACAGAAGAGAGGCTTGTATCTGTGCTGTAGGCCCACCTGTCCCGATGGAGAGGTTGATGGTTCGAGCCCGTGTGTCAGGGACGTGGTCGACCTGGTCCTGACTGCGTGTGGTGCCTCTCCTCCAGATGCTGCTGTGAATTTTGATGAATGGAACTGGCTGTTTTGTGTGTTTGAATGTAATGGAATATTATAGATTTACTTCTATTTGCTTTCAGTGCTTCTTTACATTTATTGTTGGTTTAGAAATTTTTGAAAACATTTTCTTTATGTAAGTTTAGAGATTTTTTAGGGGGCTGCCGTGGCCTAGAGGTTAAGGTGTTTGCCTCTCGTTCAAAGGTCCTGGGTTCAAATCCGGGTAGGTATGGTAAATTTTCTTCGCTCAAATGTTCTCTTTTCACATCCTTTCCTGCTCTCTAACAATGTTCTGTTGTCTGCTTTCGTCTCCACTTTCTGCTCCCACCCCCTCACCTCCTATGCCCCCTCCTCTATGCTCCTGACTCTTTCTGTAGCCTTTCTACTGCTTCTCCTTGGTTCCTTCTTACTGCTGTCTTTCAGCCACACCCCTGATCTTATGGTAGGTAAGATTCAATTGTTCAGATCCTGTGGATTCATTCAAGTCCGACTCACTTGTTCTAAATAAAACCTAGATCTAGATTTATATAGATCATTATTGACCTCAATGGAGGATTCATATTCCAATTCTATTGTGTCAAACCCTATCATAGGTTGTGCTGTAATATAATGTTGGTGAAAAGCATTTCATCAGGTGCGTGAATTATTTATTTATTTAGAATCTAGATTAGATCTACACTCAGATGAGTCCCTCTGTTTGGAATCGGATACGGACTTCTAGTTCAAGGCCTATTCCTATTCACTTGTTCTACAAGATCTAGATCTAGATTTATTTAGATTACTAGATCTATATGGGGGATTCATATTCCAATTCTATTGTGTTATTGTATCAAACCCTATTATAGCAATGTAGATGTAGGCCATCCTTGTTTGTTTTGGAGTGTGTTTTTTTTTAATTTGAATTTTTTTTCTTTTTGGACTTGTGCTGGCCTTTTTACATGAGGCCTTTTGCAGGTTCTTTTTGGGGGTAGGCCTACGGTTAGGGTTAGGTCTCTTCTTTATTGTGTTTGTTGGGGTGGTCGCTCGTTACTCGGAAGTCCTTCATGACACCCACAAAAGCTCTTTTATGGGGGGGGGGAGGGGGTGCGCAAAATTTTCAGACAATCTGGTTGAGGCTCACATGCAGGTCTACTTAAATTGACCGGATTTTACACTTAACATAGGTTTGAAAGTAATGTACATTATGATATAATATCATAGACGAAAGGAAATGTAAATTTTAAACCCCCGCTGGTGTGCATGTTTCTATGAGCTCTGAAAAGTCCAGGATTCCTTTTATATCCAGTTGGCTTCTGTTTGATGGAGGACTGATAATGTTTATTTTATCAAATCAGATACTGAATGATAATTTTTCACTTTACAGCGTTTAGAGCCTTGTAGGGATAAGGCACTATGTGAATTCACATTATCATTATTGTTGTTATTATTATTATTTTTTTATTTTTTTAAATTGTTGTAATCTATGACTGCTGTCCTCTCCAGGTGAGAGGCTGATTAACGAGCAACAACCCATGCTGGCAATAGACAAATTGCAGTCCAGCCTCAGCCTTCCTCTTGACCCAGAGGAGAAGTCTCGGCTTCTGTGTCTCCTGGCAAAATGCTACCTTTCTCAGGTAAACTTAGAGAGAGAAAGTGTTTCTTTTTTCTTATCTACTTACACAGTGAATGTTTCTTTTCTAATGTATACTTACAGTGCTTTACAATTTTCTTGTTTTTGACTTTAGAATTGTTAGTTTACTTCAAGAGAAACAATAACGACCAAATCCCCCCACCCCTAAAGTAAAGGCCGCATTAATAATGAGTTTGGTGACCACATGCTCAGCATTAACTGATGCTGAAATGCAGAAAAGTGCTGTGAGAAGTCTCTTTGCATTGAATGTAGGTTCAGCTCACTCATTGATAAGAGTGGTTCCAGGAAAGACAATCGTAACTCTGACTCTGGCTGCATCCTCAGTGCTGTTCTGGAGAGGGAGAGATGAGTGGATACTTGTGTCTCTCTGATGGCTTAAGAGAGTATATAGTAAAGTTAAATTTCATATATAGACCAGTTCATTGTTCTATCCTGTTTGGCATGACTATGTTGTTTCACTTGTAACGTGTAGTAAGTGCAATTAATTATTTTATTTATTGTAAACTCTTTGGAGATAATATCAATTGGAGATAAAGCATCAGTTTTGTTTGGGGTTGAACTTCATTAAAGACACCGGTACAAACTTTTTTTAGTTTTATTTTATTTTAGATATTTATAATGAAGATGTACTTTTAACAATATACTGGATGAAATGAAGGCTTTGTAATGTAAACACTCAGTTCGAGTAAGGATACACAACATTCTGTTTTCTCTCTTGTCCTCAGGATTACTCTCAGCTTACCATTCAGTCGTTCAAAGCTGCTCTGGAAGCAAATCATGAAAACCTTACAGTTTTTCTCCAGTTAGCCGGTGTCTATTCCAGACTCAAGCATCATGACCTGGAAATTGAATGTCTTCGTATTCTTGTCAAGGTTTGGTCTAAAAATCCGCCTAGTGTTTTGTGTTAGTAACTGATTTATTAGACTATATGTTGGTTCTGTTGTCGAGCCTTTTATTAGATATTTTGAACATTTTCAATAAATTCGTCTAACACATTTTGAGAATTTTCCCTGATTATGCTGCTTGAGAAAGAAACATGAAACAATGAAATTTTTTCTTGATTTTGCCATACACAGTTTAGCCTTAACGTGTGAATATTCTTCTGTTAACATAAAAGCTAGCCTCATTTTTGTACGTAAACATTTTCTTTTGTAACAATATATGGTCATATATCCGAAGAAAAAAAACGTACTATCACTTTTAATGGTATTGTGCTCAAACTAGTGCCCTTCTCTATCATTGGAAACCTACTGATGACTCTTTACAAATGTATGAATTTTCAGAAAGTGACCAATAGAGAGCTGAAAAGTTGTGATACCAAACACATTATAAAGGATTTTTCCTGCACTGTGGCAGAGATATCTGGGGCTGTGTCTGATGTTACATTTGTTCAGGCTGTCCATCACTTTGGGAAACGTTGCTTCCAACTTCAGAGGTATTTGTCAGTCATGCTTGGATTTTATGTCTCTTATAAATGTTTCATAGTTTCTAAAAGCTTTCCTTAGTATTTGGATAGAAATATGTCTGCACTAAGTATGAGCCAAACATAAGTTTTCTTTTTCATCCCCAACAAGATCTCAGGAGTGGTCAATAGTAATTTTTCACTTGAGGATATATCTAATTTTTATTAGACCTATTTATGGCCTGTTTGCTTGTTAGAACATTGAGTCCCTTGTCTTTAATGCCATTGTATGTCTTGTCCATTTTTTTAAAAAGGTAGTTTTTAATTACTTAGAATTTCTCAATTTGGGAAGAGATTACTGACTTATTTAGAATTTTGCCCAAGTGGATGGCCTGGGGAAAATCTATGTAAACTTTATTTAGAAAATTGATATCTCCAATTGAGTGTAGGTCTCTATGTTTACAAATGTTTTGATCTGTGTGCTTTTTTTTTCTCAACTTTGTGTGTAATTTCATTTACCTTGAACATGTTTCTGTCAGATACAAGGAAGCCGCAGAGCAGTACCTGAACTTGCTGAATCATCTGCAGGACCCAGACAAGGTGCCTCTGCTTATCTCAAGGGTTTTTTTAAAAAGTTGTTTATAACGAGAGTTTAAGTATTGATACAGTGGAAACCCCTGATATAACAGGGATGGTGGGACCAGAGAAAAAGTCCTGTTCTATCAGATCCCTGTTAAAAATCAGAAATGCAAGGGAAGTAAGCATTCATGGACTAATCCAGCTGTATTTATTCATGGATAGTTTCCCTTGCCACAAAAACCCATGAATTGGGGTTTTGACTTTGTGGCAGTCCTGCGCATGACACATTACACGTGTGTGTAGCTAGGCTTAGGGCTAGATCGAAGTCTGCAGAACACCACAGCCCTCTCTCAGTTCACCCACTGCGTGTGCTTGCTGTGGCGTGGCTTGCGTGGGCTTGCTCCATCACTGCGTTTCTCTTTTTCTCTCTCTCTCTCTCTCTCTCTCTCTCTCTCTCTCTCTCTCTCTCTCTCTCTCTCTCTCTCCTTACTTTTTACAAATTGTTAACGAGCCTTTATCCCTGCTACAACCAATTGGGCTCCGATGAGGCCATGTTGTTGCCGATAATTTTTAATAGAGACAAAGAATCGGAAATTATTACCGGATCCCTGTTATTACTGGGCCTTTTATATATGGTTTCCACTGTATTTAACTTTCATTACTCATTTGTAATTTTTGTTATGTAATAACTATAAGTGATATCAGGGGCCTGAAGATTTAGTAATTTTCTTTTGACTGATAGTGTTTTTCGGTCTTCACAACACTAACTACAGGATAAAATATGAATATTAAATTTGTCTCTCTTTCTTCTCTTCTCTTTTTCTTTTTCTTTCTTTTTTTAAAAAAAAAAATTTTTTTTTAGTAGAGGTTTTACAGCGCTCGCAACTGCATAAGGTCATATGAGTGCCAGAAGATTAGAGGTGTTACAAGAGAGTAACAAACATAAAAAAGAAGGAGGGGGAGATGAGGACAATAGATGTGTGATAGGAAAGAAGAAACAAACCACACCAGACCACCGGCCAACCACCCACATTCTTCTCTTTATAGCATTATGTACTATTAGTTCCTTCATGCTGTTACATTGTATTTACTATACAAGAAACTAGATTACTACATTCAAGCTGGAGAGAAGATCACCCCTGATTATCATTTTTTGTGATTATCATTGGTAAATACTCCATCATCTTTCTTTTTTAGTTTTTATTTTAGATATATATCTAACATTTTTTTATTTTTTGTTTGTTAAGGTAAACAAAGACCCCTGTGATCGAGAACTTAATGTGAAAGTGTTCATTGTTGAAACAGTCGAAGCCGTGGCAATGGCTCAGAGACATGAAGAATGCATCGCCCTTTGTGAAGAATTCATCCCTTGCTTACTAGATGGTGAGGTATCCTTCAAAGATTCACCGAAAGTGGGCAGGCATTTTGGGCTCTTCTCTCAGTGTCCAACTGAGATAGTCGGCCGTAAAGAGCAATCCACTCAAGACTATTTGTGCAGCAGTCCATGCTTTCTCGGAGAATCGAGTCGCAGAGATGACGTTGTGAATAATGTCAGGATGTCATCACTAAGCAAAGATTTTTCTGTTGGGACTGGCAGAGGCAGCAACCCTTTGTTCACACCTGGATCTCTACGGAAGCTACTGAAAAATCCTAGAAAGAGGAGAAGATCTTCCAGTGACAATGGAGATTTGTTTGTGATGGAGACAGACAGTGGTGAAAAGAAGGAGTCCGGCCCAAGTGACTACTTAGCTGTGAGATTGTTGGTGTGCAAAACCGACTGTCTGGTAGGGTTACATGGCTATACAGAGGATGCCATGACATGTTTATTACGGTGAGTTTGAGCAACACTTATTCAAGCTGATGAAATTAGTTTGATAGATATTTCAGTGTGCACATTGTTCAGATTTATACTCTTAATTTTAATGCTAGAATGTTCTATTCTCTTCATATTTTATTTTAATTGATGTTTTTGTGAGGTGTGGATTCTTTTGACAACGGTTTTTGGCCCAAAAAAATTTTCGCTTCTTTTTAACACTTTGCCATCACATCTCGCTGATCGGCGATGTTTACCTCACAGTTTCTTTGGATTTTCCCCAAAATGCCTTTGCCTTTGATAGCAAGGGTTATTACTATATGAGCCTTGTGATGGCGAAGTGTTAAAAGCCATTTCTGAGTTTGTCTGGAGAGGGGGATCCGGTAGACTCTCTCTCTTTGACAGAAAAAAACGGTAAAAAAAACATTACTAAGCTTTTAGTTCGTTGTGAAAGAGATAACATTCTGGGGGGGGAGGGGGGGGAATGAAAATGGAAACTTTCTAAAAGTGCAAGCCTGAAGAAAGAAACTTTCGAGTCTTTGCGAGAACTAAAACACTAGAAGTGGCAATGAAAATGCAAGTTTGTAGCTAATAATTCAAAACACAGCCTTAAACAACTGTCAAAATGTTACTGCTTTTCTTGAGACAGTTAAGGATTTTTTTTAGAGATGAGTATTATTTCACAATGTTATTGCAATGGGACAAATTCTGTTCACAGTATATTTTGAAAATTGCAATCAGCCTGGATGCTTTTTCAAGTTTCGTTATGTTGTTTTGTGGTTTGAAAGAGGGATACAAAAATGCAAATTACTCAAATTTGTGAGGATTGTCCTTCAGCTATTGACTGTTACTGAATTCTATTGTCTTTCATTATGTAACTTAAGGAACTCCTTTTGGATGATCTCATTTAAGGGCACACAATTTATTACTGGATTCTGCGCCTGGAAATGTCGTTCAAGACCCACCTCTGCCGGGGCCTAGCTCAAAGAGACAGAAAGCAAGTCTGGAAGAGCACAATATGCCAGACCATGTGATGGGGTCTGCGACAGGGGATGGTTCTGTCAGAGACAGCTATACTCAACTCATGATTGAAGTTGCTCTCAGAATGGGGAAGATGTCATTGAAGAGGAAGCTTTTGCCTTCTGTGCTGAGGTCGTGCCATTTAGTCTTGCAGTTGGATCCAGGTGTGTTGACTATGATGTATGAAGGTTGCATTTTGTCATACATACTTTTTGGGAGGGTTTTTTCTCCTTTTTTCTCCTGGATTGGACATGAATTGCATGCTGAATTTGGTTAAATCAAAGAAAGCAGGAAAATAATTTTGTGGCTGATCTTTTGTATTTTTGCTACATGCTATTTTTCTTTTTCTTTCATTTTTACATTAATAAATATTGTGTCATGGGGAATTCGAAAATATGATGATTAAAGCTGTATAACTGACAAGCATGTGGGTCACAAGGATATGCGATGTGTAGTATTTTAATTTTAGAACTTTTTTAGTTAACGTTTTGCACTGGTTCAGTCACAGATGTTGAACCAGATTTTACTTCTCAGCTTTGTAGAGAAATGATTGTTGAATGTGGCTTTCGAATGATCTTTATAATATTTTGTGTATTGTTTTATATTCACACGGGTTTGTATGTGCTTGAGATCTCTTGAAAGTGCATGTGGTGGATGAGTGCAAAGCAGATGTCCTTCATGCTCGATTCAACACATGATATGTTTTGGCATCTCAGAAGTGGATTACAGATTGCTGCCTTTCCTTCTCTGGCTGGTACCTTTTCTGCTGCCTTTATTTTTGTCAAATTATGTTAGAATTCAAATTAGTACCTCATTTGTTTTCTTATGAAAAAGATTTTTCAGATCACTTGGATGAACACAAACAGTGAGAACATTTCTACTCAGCATGTTAGACAATATGAATGTTGTTGATCCTCCTTTAAATGAAACTGATATTGCGCTTTTAACAGTTCCTATGACTCAAAATATTACATAAGCCTATACAGTATCAGACCAACACAAATGGGCATGTTTAACACGTACAAATAAAAAAACGCCTATGCACAAACAGGCTCATACAACATGTGTATATTTGCAAGTGACAAATACACATGTTTACAGCACATATGAAACATACTGTACATCATACAGACATATAGAATACAATCTGGTGCAGACCATAGGGTAGGGTCTGCAGCAGGGGATGGTTCTGCCAGACAGCTATCCTCAGCTCATGATTGATGTTGCTCTCAGTACTTAGAGTGACCATAATTATTATGATAGGGAAGTTGTCCTTGAAGTGGAAGCCCTAACCTTCTGTGCTGAGACATATTGTCTGCCTCTGTACTGTCTCTTTACAGGTTGTGTCCCAGCTCATTACCTGAAAACTTTGGTGCTGAAGGAGAGAAAAGGTCAGGAGATGGGGGCTGCCACAGACTGGTTGAGACTGCGAGGCATCGACATGGACGCTGTGGAGGCAGCTATCTCACACAAACAGGCCAAGCTTGGGTAAGTTGCCGTGCAATTAGAGATAATTTCGAGGACAGAGATGCTCATCATCATCCGGTGCCTTGCCGACTGGTGTGGGCAATCATAGACCTCCACTTCACTCTGTCTTGCGTTGCAGCAATGGTGTCTGTTGTTCTTGCTGCTCCTATCCATGTTGTCATCTTGTCCAGTATCTTTTCCCTCTGAGGTGCTAGAAGATTGGAAAATTTCACTTTATTTATACTGGAATCAATCGCTTTCAGGTAGTGGGCTCTCATGGTCTAAAGATATGGTGATCACCTCTCATTCAAAAGTCTCAGGATTGAAACCTGACAGTGACGAAGAAAAAATTATTTTTTCAGTTACTTTCCTGGTCATCTGCTTTCATCCCCACTCTCAAATTGGAATGTGGCTGCCTGACAGCAAGGGGCCCAACGAAGTAAGAAAAGCTGTCACATAAAAATCAGTTTACTTCAGGTTGACGAACCAGCAGTTAGATCTAGCAGGGGTACGCGAAGAAGAAGAAGATGGCTTTTAGACAAAGATCTCTTTCAGCATTTCTACTTACCTTGGTCTTGGAGTTGTAGCTTTATTTCAGAGTGGTCTCAAATCAGGACTGACGCTGTTGTTCAGTTTGACAGTTTTTGGGAGTGAACTAATTTAACCACTGGTTTTGAAGAAGTGCACATGCTCAAGGTAATAATTAAATCTTTCTAAGTTTGTGTCTCAGATTGTGTTTTTCAAGTGTGATTTTCTAATTGTATCCTTACTGATTGACCCAAGTCCTGGTGTGTTGGTATCAATAAAAACTATATTGTCAGTTCAGGCACCTATCTCTTTTGCATTTGGCCTTTAGTTTTGTCTGTGATAACTTCTCTGCCACTAAGTTCCCATCCAAGTAGCTCCTGGCGTCGTGTTAAGTCTGTGTTAGTATACACTTTCCATCCTGCAGCCTGAGGAATTCAGTATTGAGACCACGTAAGGTCCCCCTTTTTTTGGCAGAAGTGATATCAGTTAAGTTTAGGCTGCAGACATTTCCCCCTGTGTCTCTTTCCCTTTACTTTGGGTGTGCACAGGAGAAAAGTGATTGCTAAATCATCAGTCCCCTAAAAGAAAGTGGGGATGAGATGGAGAGAAGAGCATCTTGAACTCATCGTGATTACTATTTTATATAATCAGGCCTGTATATTCCACCATGAAATAAAACACATTGTGGGAATACACAGAACTTTCAAAAGTGATTCTGTTAGACATTTAACTTATTTCTTAGATAGTAAATGTGACCAGTTTAATTTTTCTATGAACTGATCAATTCTGTGCTCTCTGCTAGATAACAAAGTGTCTTAAATTAAGCTTGATCCAAAATGGACCCATTGGGCAATTCTTTATTAAATGAATTCTAACAATAATTATGTGCTTTTTTGTGTCTTTGATAATTGGGTATATGTGAATGTTTCATGTCTGGGTATGAGCTTCAAAATAGAAAGGGCCTGTCGCGCATAAGAAGCTACTGCTTTACGGACAATTACTTTACTTTAACTACTTTTTGGATTTTGACGTACTCAAACTACATGTATTCCCATGTACTGTTTCAGACAAGTTGAATCTGAACTAGAAAAGCAGAATGTGCCGTGGTGGACAACGAGTGATGTTCACCTCTTGAGTTTGGACCTGCTTTGTTTACAGATGCTGCCCTTGCAAGCTTGATTCCATGTGCCGTTTCATCATTTTGTACAATGGTAATTAGTGGGCCCCGAATATGCAGTGTTCAGAATCATTTTTTTTTTCATATTAAAATGATGTAGAAAACATTCAGAAGTGACACAATTCAGGGCCTTTTCTCACAGATTTAGGAGAATGTAGAGAACTTTCAAAAGTGCCCCAACTGAGGAACTTTTCTCTCAAAATTAAAACAATGTAGAAAATATTTTAACTCTTTCACTCCACACAATTTTCTTAGTTTGGACGCAAATATTTTGAGGGTCACGACAAGAACACAATGGTGGGTCGAAAAATCCCCTTTCCCATCCATGTTTACAGGATAAAATATAACATGTCGTATAACAATTTGCAGGGAATTGAATGGACTATCATATGACATCAACGGATAGGCAGTATGATGATTGTATTCAGAGATAAAGTGTGTATAATGAACTGTGAGATGAGAAAAGATGAACTGACAACAACATTCATTTTGCACTCACCAAGTCATAAGTGATGAAATGTCCACTTCATATAATCCAAAAGAGGTAATCCAATTGTGAATCACGGGTAAACTCCATTTTGCCACAGTCAAGACTCATATGCAGTTCAGAGAGGTCCCATGATGACACTGCATAGTGAAAACATCCGACATTTTTAATGAATTTTTTTGCAGAAAAACATAGACGTTCATGAAATAACCACAAAACACACAATATCCACTATACACCATTACAACTACTCAAGACGAGAAAAATGAAGGGGAGAGGGGAGGCCAATCTGGGCCTTTGATGGTACCTCTCGAAGCAGATCTTCGCACAGAGGTAAGGCCGACTTTCACATCCTGTACAAATAAACGTTCTTTTGCGTTTGCCCTTACTCTGCTCACATCAATCCACACAATCCCTGTCTTTTCCTGTCCACTGGATCAGGTGTTTGGAGCCCTGAAAACGATCAACAGGGTTGGTCTCTCTGGGCTTTTTCCTTTTGGGGGTGTGGTTCTCGACCTCTTCTGCAGGCATCAGTGTCGCTGCCTTGTCTTGAAGCTGCTTCAGGAGCTTCTGCTTGAAAGCTTTCATGCTCATCTTTGCTGCCCCCTGTTCTCTCGTAAGAGCATAGAGAAAAACCCATTGTTCTGCGCAATTTCAAAAATTAAAAAACCCAGCTTTTTCCTCCATTTGTACGACTTTCGGTCGGTATTGCTGTAGTACGTGACCCTTTGATCGACTTTGTCGCAGCCACTCATGGACAGGCTGGAGTTGTTCACTTCTATTGGCTTTGTTTTGTTCTTTGCATTGGTGTGAAAGAATGTGTCTGCTTTGGTTGACACAACAACACAAGGCTTTTTAAGCCTTTTTGTCCTTCCACACTGTGACGAGCATGGATTTGTCATTCCGCAGGTATTTTTTTGCCTCCATGTGCTTCATCGTTTTGATGTTTTTCAGCTGAGGTGGGAAATTTTTCCTGTTCAGATTCAGAGTAGCAGTGTAGTACAACGACCGGCCTGAAAAGTACCTGACCAGGGCTTCTGTCGTGCAATACCTAAGACAAGAAAAAAGAAGGAGAAAATATTAGTTATCCCATAAAGTAGATTTATTTATGGCACGAACAATAGCGTACAAGATCACACTGGGCATCAAAGAAAACAGCACTCAAATATGCACAGGCTTACTCATTCTCACAGTCACACACTCATCAATGCAGCAACAACAGAGCTGTAATATCAATTCTAAAAGTGGTGAAAAGATAACAGACACTGAATATGAGTCAATATGACATAGATCTAAATCTAGAGGCTGATAAATAATGAAAAAAAAATCCTTATTTTTAGAAAGAGCAGTGAACTTTATCTAGATTTAGAGATAGATCTAGTTGACACAATCACAATTATTTGATGTTACTACTAGATCTAGTACAAGTGCGATATGGCTACTTACCTGTCAGCAAAAATATGATGACCAGTTCCAACATCTTCCAGGAGCGTATCAAAGACTTTGATGGCCATTCCAGAGTCGTGATCCTGTGCAGGGTTGTAGGACGTATCTCTCCCAAAGTAAGTCAAAAGATGCGAGACGAAGCCCGTAGTGGAGTCGACCAGTCTAAACGTCTTGATGTGATATTTTTTTGGTTTCGACGGATTATATTGTTTGAACTTCCATCATCCAGTAAAGCCCACAACCATTTCATCTATCGACAAATTTTGGAACGTGTAGAATGCTTCTCTGAAGGCCTCCATGACAGCATCAATGAGCGGTTCAATTTTGTGTTTGGATCAGAGCAGTGAAGCATGGTGTGGTAAATGCTTTCGAATCGTTCTCTTCGAAATGTGGTGTGATAGAATGCGTTGTACATGATTTCTTCTGTTGACCAGTAGTCTCGAACTCTAGGTCTAACTTCAAGGCCCATAGCTATGAGCACACAGAAAAATTTCACCCTCTCGTACTCCGACAGTGGCTCCCATGTTTGGTAAACTGACCGTTTTCTTATACAAGGCCTCAGTGGCCTACACTTTTCCTCGGCATTCTCATTTGTTGACTTGATAAGATCATTAACAATGTTCTGCGTGAGAATTACTTTCAAACAGTCGAGAGGACTGGATGACTGGTCGAGGTTTGCATTCACCCCTGGCACTTGTCTTCGGTTAGGGAGAATAGCATCTCCAAACTGGTTTCTTGTTGTAAGAACATTCTGTTGGTGAAGTGGGGTTAAATCTAGTCGTAGATTTTGCGAGACTTCAGCCCAATCAGTTGCTGCGTTGTTTACAGTGTGAGTTTGTGGGCGTGGCCGAGCAGCTGATCCTTCAGTGTCACTAGAGCTATCACTATCAGACTCAAAGTTCATCGCATTCCGCTCGCCATCACTGTCAGAACCACCATCACTAAATTCTACTTCACTTTCTCTCGCTAAGTTTTTATCACTGGCAAGAGTTTGGAACAAACCAAGGGCTTGTTGGGCAGTAAAACGTTGTCGCCTTCCCGAACTAGGGCCTGCTTCATCGCCCCCGTCAGCCATTTCGCTGGTGAAATCCACAAAACAATTGGAACTGACTTGGCACGCTCAAAACAACTCGAAAGCACCGCCAAAAAGCCTTCTTGAAAGGTTTTTATCATCATCCGTATCCTACTTCAGTTTCGGAAACATAGATAATTCATTCAGAAAGTTGGTTTGGAATACTTCGCACTTTTGATTCACCAATGCTGATAGCCGACCAGTCGGCTAGGTGTCGAGATAAAACATTTTCATAGCCGTATGGTCGGCTTAGCAGAGGGAATGAGTTAAAGTGACCCAATGCATGTTTATTTTCTCCCATATTTAGAGCAATGCACAGAACTTTCTAAAGTGATTCTGTTAGACATTAACTTGTTTCTTGTACCCATATGTTTTAACGGTTTTCAACTTTGAAAAGTTAAATTGAAAGAATAAGAAAAAAGAATAGAGTGTTGAATTTGGTGCTAATGGCTCAAAGTAGATTGTTGTTGTTGTTATCGATCCAGCAGCATCTGGGCTCTCGCCCTTCTGTCCAATGCCATGTAGTGATAAGTGCAGGTTTGCTGCAGTTGCTGTAATGTTCCGTAGAGTGTGTTGTCAAGGTTAGGTCTCGGAGGGAGAAGTGTAGCTCTGATGTCATTTAGGGCTGTACAGTGGAAAAGGGGATGTTCCACCGTCTCATATGCATAGTAGATAAGTTGTTACATTTACCGAACAGTGAAATCAAAGATTTGTTAACTTCTGTTAGGACTTCAAAGACTTTTAATACTTGTATGGTCCTCTCTGTTGACGTCTAACCTTTTTTTAAGTGCTTATGTTAATGTGATTTGTTATTTGTTTTTAAAGTTGTGATGGCCACAAGTAATGTGAAAAAATATTGGCGACAAGGCTTTAAGTTAGGTGTTTGCTGGGGTGTGTCGTGGAGTAAGGCATGATTACCTAGCTCAAAATCAGTTCGCTTTACTGGATGGGGTATTATGTATTATGTGATGTTGATATAATGTTTGCAGTTTTTATTAACATTGTTCTTGCTGATGTAAAAACCAAACTTTCCCAAGTGGATTAATAAAAGTGAAATTTATTCAGTTGTCTTCTTTTTTTTTTTATTCTTTTTTTTCTTGTATTGGGTGCAATAAGTTCTGGTTCTACAACTGCTTTCAGATACTTCCTTGTCTGTGGTGAGAATGTTTGCTTAAAATGAAGTAAAGTCCTTGAGAAACCCTGAAGTCTCTTTCAAAGAGTGTTTTTGGTTATACTTGTGCTCCTTTGACAAACTGCTCCAGCCTTAACGCTTCTTATTTTCTATTTGAATGTTGTTTATAGCTTTTTTTTTCATTGAAACCTTAAGAAGTTATTTTTTTCATAGCTCAGGTCAATTATTTTACTTAGTATACTGGTTTAATTTAGGATGGTGTTGCCCTATACTATAGGCCTACTGGTTAGTAAGACTTTCTGAAAACCATATTGTGCTGGGCTGTATTGTGTTTAAAACTTATTTCCAACTTGAAAAACATCCATTTTCATTCAGCCACACTTATGTGTTTTCCCACTCTTTTCTGACTTTTCAACACTGTTTCTGACAACTTTCACTTTCAGATTTATTTGTTTGAATGAAAAAATATCAACACAATAATACAAGTAGTTTTTTTTCCATTCTGGAGTAGTCTGTTCCTTTGACACATATACTTCTCTGCAATATCTGTGTTAGCTTGACAAGTTCCTGAGGAACTGGAGTCTGTTGTGTAGTGGTTAGGCCCTTCACCGTCACACACAAAAGACCCGAGTATGATTTCTGTGTAGGGAGAAATTTTTATCCAGTATCTTGGTTTGTCTGCTACAGCTTTGTACAGTGGAAACCATATATAACAGGGATCCGGTAATAACAGGGATTTTTTTTATCCCTGTTTTTTCCTACTCTTTGTCTCTATTAAAAGTTATCGGCAATACATGTAACAGGGCCTCATCGGAGCCAGATCGGTTATAGCAGAGACAAAGGCTTGTTAACAATGTGTAAAGAGAGAGAGAGAGTAACTCAGTGATCGAGCAAGTCCACGCAAGCCACACCACTGCAAGCACATGCAGCGGGGGAAGCGAGAGAGGGCTGCGGTGTGCTGCAGACTTCGATCTAACATGCATGTATAATGTTGCATGCGCAGGCCTGCCGTATGGCCAAAACCCAGTTCGTGGGTACTTGTGGCAAGGGAAACTACCCATGAATAAATACATATGGGTTAGTCCACAAATGCTTACTTCCATTGTATTTCTGATTTAAGAGAGATCTGATATAACAGGACTTTTTCTCTGGTCCCACCATCCCTGTTATGTCAGGTTTTCAGTGTATCCTTCTCAATCCGGGTTAGTCCTGTCAGGAAGGGTTGGAGCCCGCCTCCTAAATGGTCTAAGCTGTGTAGATGGGGGCGTAAAACACTTACATTTTTTTCTAAGTTCCTTGGGAAATGATGTTACCCTTGTCATGTCATGCTGAATAACCAGAAACTTCTGCTCAAGACCCAAGCTCAACATGTCGAGGGTTAGATATAGCAATGAGCGGATGATTGGAGGGCACCGCTGATAAATCCTATTTAATTTCTTTCCCTCTGAAGGACTAATTGTTCAACGTAGAGCTGAGGTGAAGTTCAATATATTTATGCAATTAATTAGAGAAAGAGGCAAAGGCCCTCCCATATATGCAGTCAAAGACGGGAAAATGCTTTGTGCTAAGCTAATAATACTTGCTGAATTCCTCTCAGTGTTTTGTTGACACATAATTTTATATATACTTAGATCTAGTAAGAGAGCCTGACACTGTAGAGGACGGTCTGACTCATACTGTCCCCGTGGTTTTATGCACCCCGCATAATTTAGCAAAATTTGATCGGTTTTTTAAATGATTTCAGATTACATGTATTTTCCTTGATCATTCTTTGTTAAAATTTTAACAAAATCGCATAATATCACATTTTTAGGCTAATTTTGCATAATTTCAGAATTTTTTTTTGCATAACACCGCGGGACAGCTCATAGTACGAGGTTTCGTGCAAGCCCTTGCTTGCTTGCTCGTACTGGCTTTTTGTTGTTTAAAGCGTTTTTCAATGCTTTTGGTCTGTGATGCGATACTCAAAGGACATACATGTATGTCATCATCTTATCTCCATCGAACTTGCTGAAGCTGGGCTGAAATGTGAATGTTGCACGAGAGATTTGTGAGCAAAATACATGTATACTATTGTGATTTATTTCTTCTCTGCGCTCTGCTTGTAATAAGATCTCTCTCTCTCTCTCTCTCTCTCTCTCTCTCTCTCTCTCTCTCTCTCTCTCTCTCTCATTATACTAGATACAGTGTACATAATAAATGTAATACACATTGTATGAGCTTGAATGACCAATTTCATTTTATTGATGTAAAGCGCCTAGATTCTAGAACACAACTGTTGAATTGGGTGCTTTGGAAATCTGTTTGTATTACTAATAATATTCATATTAACATATCATTATTTATGTTACTAATGTCATAATCATTATCAGTTATTAACTGACCTACTATTATCAGCAATATTTATATCTAATTGTGATCTAGGTGCTTTACATCAATAAAATGAAACTGGTCATTCAAGCTCATAAAATTATTCCTTCATCTAAACAAACACATTAACATACACAGATAGTCCAGCGCACTCACTCCACACACACACACACACACACACGCGCACGCGCGCGCACGCACGCACGCACACGCACACACACGCACACGTTTGCTTCCTTGCTCGCACGTGTTCAAAGACATAAGCACATGGGTGCGCACACAATCACCTCTTAGTCTTTAGTATACGTATACATCAAACCTAAGTATTTGGCGCTCATATGACCTTATGCAGTTGCGAGCGCCGTAAAACCTCTACTAAAACAAAACAAACCTAAGTCTCAAAATAGCAGTACTTCAACTTACATTGGTATTCTAAATTATTTATACGTCTGGGGGGTTTTTTTGTAAGTGTTTTACAGCGCTCGCAACTGCATGAAGTCATATTGGCGCCGGGGACACGTTATTAACTTTTATTAAGCATTTTCAGTTTTCAATTAATGAATTTTGAATAATTTTGCGCTTCTGACGGCCGAAGCCTACTCATCGATTTTAAGGACCACCAAGGGGTCTTTTTAAACGTGCACAACTTGCACAACTCCCGAGATTTCTTTGCCCTTATCCGAGAAGATTTAGGTGTTAGGTTTCACAAACCCCGAGGTTAGTGGTGAAGACAGCAGTAAGAAGGAGCCAGGAGTAATAGAAAGAACCAGGAGCC